CCTAACTTTTCGCTCAAGCGCCATCCATTTTCAGGGCTAGTTGATTCGGCAGGTGAGTTGTTACACACTCCTTAGCGGGTACCGACTTCCATGGCCACCGTCCTGCTGTCTATATCAACCAACGCCTTTTATGGGGTCTCATGAGCGAAAAGTTAGGCACCTTAACCCAACGTTTGGTTCATCCCACAGCGCCAGTTCTGCTTACCAAAAATGGCCCACTTGGAGCTCGCGTTCGTGTCAACAGTTCAACAAAGAAACCGAGACAACATACCCATTGAAAGTTTGAGAATAGGTTGAGGTCGTTTCGACCCCAAGTCCTCTAATCATTCGCTTTACCGGATATAACCGCAATGAACTCCAGCTATCCTGGGGGAAACTTCGGAGGGAACCAGCTACTAGATGGTTCGATTAGTCTTTCGCCCCTATACCCAAGTCTATCGATCGATTTGCACGTCAGAACCGATACGGACTTCCACCAGAGTTTCCTCTGACTTCGTCCTGCTCAGGCATAGTTCACCATCTTTCGGGTCGCAATCCGTCGAGTCATTCACAATTAGCCTTTATCTCTTGACAGATATGATCCGATAAAATCCCAAACTGGTGTGTTTTGTTAAGGACCGCATCATTCCATTTCAATCACCGCGTGTATCAGCGACGAGAAAGAAGGTGATCCACTTGATGTCAAGGTTCAGCTTCTTTTTCCTCAAATGTTCATTGTCTCTGTTTGGAAAACTCCACAAGGATTTCAGTCAGTAGAGGAGCCCTTTGGATCGAGAAATGCTTGTCAAGCATGACCCAGCACCTTTCACATGCCTCACTGAAGGGAAATTGAGTGCATGGTGGCAATGCCCGGAAGATCGCAGGATCACCATATAAGAAAAGCACTGAACGTCAAAAGCTACGACGAACAACCATGAGGGTACCAAAAGAACGGATGGATGAGTGCCACTCATAAGAATCCATTGAAAATAGGCAATCACTAGATGGAAGGGAATATGGGGAGTGGAATGAGTGGAAAATAATGGAAAAGGTGAAAAACAACTTTATACAAACTAAAAACAGTCGGAATGGTGGAAGTCGCAAAGGCATTTTCAGGGTGTTTGGTAGGAGCGTGGTCATGCCAATAAGCTGTGGTGTGTCTGTCGCGAAAAGACCTTACAGCCCAAAATCGACCACCTCATTAATGATTGCCGTTTGGGAGCAATGCTCTTGCATGTGAATGAACTCACAAAAGAGCATACTTGGCTGTAACTGTGTGAGCGCCGTGGTTGCATAGGGGATTCGGTGTGCGTGGTTTGCTGGACGGGCCAGAGCGCGAATCTTTAGAGTCTGTGTCGCTAATTGTCGATTGGTCGATAAGCCCAGTCTTCCTTACACAGTCTTTAACGGCGATGTGGCTTGGTCCTGGTCTTCCTGCCAGTCGGAGTCAAAGAACGATTGCCCAGTGAGCGTACGTTGCGCTTCCATACTTCAAAGATCCCGTCAAGGAAAGTGCGGGATCTTCCAGTCGAGTGGGCGTAGAGAGGTGGAGGTGTGGGGCTAGAGAGTGAGTTATTACGGGGGGAGGGGGTGAGAGTGAGGTAGAGGAGGGAGAAGGAGAGGGTGGGGGAGCTAGGGAGAGAGTGAGAGGGACTGAGAGGGAGAGTGTTGAGAGGTGACGCACTTGATCCACGTTTGAACGAAAATTCAGAAATTTTCCCCAACGCCTGAGCTATTAGAACAGCCAAAAAGAATGCCAAAGACAACCACACTGAGGGAAAGTGAATTAATTAGCAAGA